GCTATACCCTGCGTACCCTCTGCCCAGCAGACGGGCAGCAGCGGGGCTCAAGCAGGGAGCTTTATAGCCGATGCTTGAGAGCTCGTGTACGGGTACGTCAATTAAAACAGGAAAAGTCCTTCAATTAAAACAAATGCTAGAGTTGCTAGCGCAGTATAATAATGTTGCATGGTTTTTCCATCTTTATGTGTGCAAAACAAAACTGTTAATGATCAGGATTCACAATGTGAATGAGGAATTCATTATGTGTACTGTATTTATAACACTGACCACACTATGTAAATCTACTGTTTCACATTGTGAAATATTTTTCAAAGAGCGGCCACATTATGAATGATACCGCTCACACTGTGAAATATTTGTCACAGCTAGAGTGGCCATACTGTGAAATTTGTACAGGGCGGCCACACTGTGAATTTTACTTTTCACACTGTGAAATATTTTCCAAAGGGCGGTCTGAATTCTATTTTTCACAATGTGAAGTATTGTTTACAGAGTGGCCACACTGTGAAATTTACTGTTCACACTGTGAAATGTATGTCGTAAGGTATTCACACTGTGAAAATCTATTTATCATAGTGTGAAATATTGTTCACAGTTTGGTCACACTGTGAAATCATTTTCACACTTTGATCGGGTACATTCACACTGTGAAATCGAATTTCACAATGCGAATACTGTGTGGTTTACCACATTGTGACAGTGTCCACACTGTGAAAACACTCCGTTCACAGTGTGAACTGTGTGTTCACACTGTGTTCACAGTGTGAGCTACGTTTTCACAATGTGTTTCACACTGTGTATGAGTGTGAATTAGCGCCTACACAGGGAAATCTCAAAGAGAAATCTCAAATTTTAGACATTGGTATATACTTGTTCCATAGTTTTTCACACTTTTTCAAAAATTCATAACTTCCCTATTAGTTATCCGATTTTACTTAAATTCATTTTGCTCTGTTGTTGTTATGCATGTATAAAAGGTACTATGTCTCATTTGCAGCCCAAAAATGAAAAAAAATGAAAAGGTTAAATTTCAATGGCATTTGAAAGATAATACTAATTTAGAACTTCCCTAAAAAAAAGGGGGGGGGGCTTGAAAATGAGTTTAAGTGGGAAAATATCAAATATCAGTTGTCGAATCGACATTAGAGCTTTAGAGCCAGTAAGTAATAGTCTTATTTTGAGACCATTGTAACGAACGGTCGTACGTTTTATGCTGCGCAAAGATTCAATCAGTTTACTTTTGGCCATTACAAAAGTGGGTCATTGGGTACGTTTATGCTCAACTTTTTCTGGCCAGAATGAGGCATCTGTTATGCGTTTAATTCAAAACACGGTTGCGTCCTTTCTCATTTTTGTAGAATCACCGAAAAACGGCGATCGTAATCGCCGATCGTAAACTCACAAAAAGGTGCGTTTACGATCGGCGATTCTGCAAAATCAGCGATTCTGGGGAAGCATAAACGCACACACATTTGTAAACGCGCTTAAATGGGGTCATCACACGGACCTCTACTGCAGACTCTGCACTGCACTTCTCTGGCTCCTCGAGGCATGATTCTGGCTCTGAGCCAGAATCATGCCCGGAGGAGCCAGAGAAGTGAGCATAAACAGTACACCGTGAAACTGCGATTACGATGAGCGTTTCAAATCGCTCATTCTGCCTTCAAAATTGAGCTTAAACGCACCCATTGATGTAGACAAATGCTCATGTACCCTTTACAGCTCATTTCATGTATGTTATTACCAAATAAAAAAAGAAGGTAGTCGCCACCCAATAGTTTATGATAGTGAAATCTAGAAGGTAAACGGGTTTCCTTGCATAATTTGAATACTAGGACACTGCTAATATTTACATTTCACAGACATATATGACATATTTACAATTCCTGCAAAGTTCTACAAAATTCGATGTTGGCTGCGAAAGGGACAGTCATAGTATATTTAAGGACTCGTTGTTTGTATACCTAAAATAATGATGGCACTTGCTCGATTTTTACATACCTAGTAGGATAGAGAAAGTTGCGGCACAAGCTTGTCACAAGCAATTTATAAAGCTATGGTCACACATCAGAGCGGCGACCGACCGATTAGTAGCCTGCTCGGTCGCCGTCGGAATTTAGGCATCGCCCAGCGATGTTTGGAGAAGTCGAGCAGGCTGTAGAGCCCCAGTGATGCCTGGGCGGTCCCCTGTCGATTACCCGTCGGTCGCCGGTCGATTCTAGGTCAAAACTGGGCGAAATCGTGGAGCTTTTCCGCGAGGTGTCCCGGCAGTGACCGACCGGTGACCCACCGATTCTCAAGCAGTCTCCCATCGGCCGCTGGCTGATTTTAAAGATATTGCAAGTGATCGGCGGGGCTCCAAAATACGCTCAGTGCTCGGCCGTTCGCCGCTTGGCCATCGAACTAACCGAGCGTTCGCCGCCGAGCGATTTAGGTCAAATATCGAAGCCGCTAGGTCAAAGGCTGCCGACCGATTTTGGACTTGCCGCCCAGTGACCGACTGATCTCCCAGCGTCGACCGGGCGGCGACCAGGCGATGACTGTTCGACAGCCTTTGACCTAGCGGCTTCGATTTTTGACCTTAATCGCTCAACGTTGAACGCTCGATTTGGTCAGCGCCCGGGCGGCGACCGCCCGGTCACCGAGTGTGGTCTGGGCGGCGAGTGAAAGTAGGCAGGCGCTGCCCGAATTTTAACTCCGCACCAAAACTTCAGCAGCGACCGAGCGATGCCTAAAAAACGAGCGGTGCCTGGGCGGTCCCCGCTCGGTGGCCGGGCAAAATTGGTTAAAAACCCGCCGCTCGGCCGCCGAGCAAGCTACTTTTGGATAATTTGACCATAGCATTATCCTACTAGCTATGGAATTTTACGACATCATTGCTCGCGTGTGGGCTAAGTTTGCCTTTATAAGCTTAATGATTGGAATAGGTCAATAACGCATTCCAAAAAATAAACGTCGTCTGCTGCTTTACGTGATCTTTCTTCCGCTTTATAATGGAGACATGTTATCGTCAATACAACGCTAACACCATCAAGATATAAAATATATCATGTGCCGTTGTCAATATCAATATTTAATCATAAAAACGAAACTTTGGCCCTACTTTGCAAACAACTGCATCGTACGTTGATTGGTTGGGCAAGGGTCATGAAATTAAATATGTAAATAGTGGCACTGACACCCCCTTTGGTGTTTATTATCGTACCCAGACACGTCATGCACGTAGGCCGTCACGCACTATCTAAAACGTTCTGTTATTTTCCGATATTATCTTACGACAAGGAGTACGAACAAATCACTTGCCCTGTTAGTCACGGGACAAGAATCAAATTTGGATTATTTCATAGGACGTTAAGCCAACAGATGAATGCAAGGCTGTATGTTACCTAGACGAAGGTATGTATATGTACAAATAATCTGTTTTCTGTATTGAGATGAAAATGATTAAAAGGCCAATCCGACCAAGGAAAAACCGATTACAGCCAAATACTCGGAAAGTAGCGAATGACGTACAGTAAATATATTGACCTCATCCTTCATTGCGTGGTAGTGTGTACAAAACGCACAGTAAAATCTTCCAACCCAGCCTGCTGTAGTATATTTTACTACAAGCGTCATTAGACGGAAATTTGGAGTAAAAAGTGAGACATTAAGTAGGACATGGGGGGTGAAAGAGAGGAGAGAGAAGGGGGGGGGGGGTATAAGAGCATGAGAGAGGAGGGTGGGAGTAAGAGAGAGAGGGGTCGTTTGGTGGAGTCGTCTCGTCTAGGAAGCAAGAAAGATACACATAGGGCCTAAAATAGAAACTTGTTGTATTGCCCTTTGCGACCGACCACAAAATCTAAAAAATCTACGGTCTGCATTTTATTTGTTTACTTTTTTTAAAAACTGTTTTTTAGATTTTTTTTTAAATTAATGACTACAAATATATGTATTTTGTTTGTTTAAATGGGATATAAATGCATGAAATCAAATTATTTCACAATCCTCACTCGTGCAAACCATGGATAATTAAGAGGTGAAAAAGGTATCAATGGAATGATGACGCTGAAGCACAAAATATTAAAGCATTAAAAACTGAGAAATATCAGCTAAAAGAAGGTGGGAAAAGAAAAACAAACATTCAAATCTGAAAATATCGTCCCAAAGAGGGCGAGAAAAAAAAAGGTTAACAAAAACCAAACTTTTTCCACCGACCGACCCATGTTTGGCACCCAAAGGGCAATACAACAAGTTTTTATTTTAGGCCTAGATGTGTTGCTGTGTCGGGGCAGCTGTGTCGGTATTCTTGGTCGATCCTCGTGTACTACAACAAATGTATATCAATGCAAAAGTTTGAACTTGGTGAGATGTATAATGTGGGTCGGCCGGCGATTTTTTTTCGCTACTAAAGCAGGGCTCCCATTCAGCCGAATAAGAGCCTCGAGTTGTGGCGAGCTGGCGCGAGCTCGAACTCGCGTAAACTCGCGTAAACTCGCTTGAAATTTACTAATTCGTATGGTATTTGCATGAATGATTTCACGACGCATTATCGAGTTTCACTGAGCGCATTACGAGTCACGCGAGCTCAGTATGAGTTGCGATGACTTGTGTACGACTTGTATCGATCTAACAACGAGTAATCACGATTTTTAAGGGTAATTCTCCGGGGGTAAATGTCCTCGAGGGGTAGTTGTCCATGGGGGGTAATTGTCCGGGGGTTATTTCCCGGGGGGTAATTGTCCTTGGGGTAGTTTTCCGGGGGTAATTTTCAAGGGGGGGGGGTGATTGCCCAAGGGGTAATTGTCCTAGAACCCTAAAGAAGAAGCGTAAAGTAAATTCATAATAATACTGTACCAGGTAGGCCCTATTAATCATGGAACACATTATGTTTAACATTTTTCAGTGCAGTAATAGCCAGCTAAGTATTTACAAAATATTTCACACTTTTGATTTAGTTGGCCAATTAATTCACCGATTTGTTTTCTTTCTCAGGTCATGTGCTTGAGTTGTCAATGATGGCTACTTCCTTAAAACAGGCTGTCCATAACTTGCATAAAAACCTCGAGTGTCCTGTCTGCCTGAGCTTATTCAAGGAACCCAAGATCCTGACCTGCTCCCATACCTTCTGCAAGGGTTGTCTTGAGAAGCTCCTGGAGTCTCATCGAAAGCTGTTGTGTCCTACGTGCAGGGAGGAGACTTCGGTTCCTGGTGGAGACTTGAGTAGACTGCATTCAAACATAACAGTCAGATCACTTGTTGAAGATGTGGAGACCCAGGGCCAGGTCTGTACCAACAGTAATCAAGAAAACGCATCGTTGCAAATAAAATGGAACAAATGTCGAAAACATCCTTACTACGATGAAGAATGCTTTTGTCTCAACTGTAACACGTATGTCTGCTGCAAGTGTGGCTTATTAGAGCATGCAAATAATGCTCACACTATCCTGGAAGCAGGCGAACATGAAACGGAGCAAAAGAATCACGTCGAGAAACTTGCATCTAAAGCCGATGCAAAGATACGCAACGTTGAAAAGCATTATACTTTCGTTGAAGACCAGCGTAAAAGGGTGCATAACGTACAGGAACGGCTCAATGATGAAATAGATGCGTCTTTTGAGGAATCAGTTGAGAAATTGAAGGAAAGAAAGACGGTATTGAAACATGAAGTTGGGCACAAGCTAGGGAAACTTAAGACTTCATTGGGATACGTGGAGAAGTCGGTTCGTAAGCAGACAGACCAAATTAAAATGGTTAGGGACTTGGTTAAGAATGGTCTTAATTTTCCTCTCCAGAAAGAGGCTCTGACCTCACATAAAGCGATGTGTCAACAGCTGGAAGAGCTCCTAAACCAGGTTGGGCCAGATGAGGAGCTGCCCAGAAGAACTGCTGAGGAAGGTGAAAGAATTGGCTTCAGGAGTCACGGTTTGGTTGGACTCCGGTTGGGTCAACTAACAAATAAGAAGTCTAAATAGGTTCTGCGCACGGAAGCTCCAATGCCTGCTGGAAAAAAAATGAGCGGGATGGCAATATCACCAGACAATGAGATGGCTGTTGGTAGTGACGAGGGAGGAATAGTCGTATATTCTCCCGAGGGCATTATACAAGATACCGTTCTGAAATATGTTAAAGTAAGAGCTTTACACTTCATGCCTGTTGGTGGATTCGTCATACGCGACGCTTATAACAGAATTTCCTTGTACACAGAACTTTGTGAAATGCTTGATGTCACGTTTGAGACATTGGGTGCTGTGAAAGGCTACTATGGTGGTCTCACTGTAGGCAATGATGGGCTGATCTTCATAGGTGACAGGGAATGCCAGAAAATACAAGTATTTAAGCCAGAAGGGGGGAAGGCAATACGAGAGATAACGTGTAGCTTATTTGGACCATGCCAGATGTTTGCGATGACATCCAGTCAAGAGATTGTCGTTAATATGAGTCCATCTATGTTCAACTATCCGTCCCGGGTACACGTAATCAACGATGTGTCTGGTGCTGTCATTCATAGCATCAGCAAAGATAGTTACATCCCTTACCCTGCTGTGTGTCAGGATGATTCAGTTATCATTGCATGGGTGAAGCACGATCAGGGTCTGATGAGCATCGACCAGTACACAAAGGAGCTCAAATACATACAAAACATTCTCACTGATTTCAAGATATCGAAATCATATTGTGGCTTTTTGCAAGCATTCAAGACGGGAGAGATTGCTTTCTGCGCAGGTGATAGGCTTTACATCTTCCATGAGACATGGGAGTAAATTTCAGTTCTGCAGATGAAACGTGGAGTTCAAAAAATTTACAAAACACAAACAACTTTAGATTGTTATTCGGTTAAGTGGAATAAATGCACCATATAAATATCATCTACACTTGCCTGGTCTCCGTTGTCACAGCTCATGATCGTCACCAACATACACCAGATAAAAATATGTATGCAGGCACCTCGTTGCATGTCTGAATAGGAGGATATTTGGGTACCTCGTTGCCCAACGATTGGATATATGGGGAACCTGTTCATCGAATGTCGGAAGTTTAAAACTCCCGGATGCAGTCCTTTCAGTGCCCCTGCCTTGCAAGCCTATGCCGAAATGTAATTTATATCAAATGGTCGGTATAGACTCCGCTCTATTATAATGCTGACCGATTTCAATGACGATAGTAGACTATGTAACGTTTACGCTTATGAAGTATCAAGGCGTTGCGCTCATTATTGCAAATGGCGGTTATTTTATAGACAGATATAGGTAGATAATCAAAATCAAAGACGAGGGTAGGAGGTAGCACACCTTCTAATCGACTGAAAGCATACATTGTAAATATAATACACAGCCATGCATTCCCATTCTAATGGGGGGGGGGGGGTGAGCAGCGCCTCCTTCCAATGTTATTTGTAATACTGAAAAGATTCTCTAAGTGTTCATAGTAGTGGCAACGTAAGCAATTTATTGTTCTCAACTTATTACAAAGTATCCGAAAACTTTTTTTTAAAGTATACAAGATATTATAGATATGCAATTTGACAAAAATTTGTTTAAAGATGAAGTTGAGTTCTGGTCATGCGATTGTCTTGGTAAAGTTACAAACACTGTATCCTACCCCGGAGTTTTACGATGCTACATGGCATATTTAGAATATGAAGGCATTTGAAGAGCCATGCTTTTCAGGGAACATGTGCTATCTGATGTTCGTCCACACTTGCATAATAAGAATGATAACGCTCACAAAATATTTTTCACCTCTTCCCAGAACTCACCCTTCTCTTTAAGTAATTCTTTTATAGATTATCATGGTGAAGGCATATAATTCAATTTTTGTTTCTTGTTTGTTTTTTGTTCCAAGGACACTTATGATATAGGATATCATTTATTTGTACACTGTTGGTCATGATGGTGGAATAATTATTTTTACCCCAATTTATTGAATGATTTTGACAATGATTTATTCCTAATAGATCTAGATAATAGTATACATTCTCAGATTTTATTGAATGACAATTGGGGAGTGTTTGTTTTGCGTGACTGCTAAAGCATGTGTGTGCTACTATGCTAATCAACTAGGGGACCTACGTCCTTAAGTCATAACTGACAGTAATGGGGATTAATGCCTCTAAAAAGGGCACTAATATAGCACATCGACACGGTTTTGATCCTGGGGGCTCACAGTAACGAGGCCATTGCTTAGCCAATAAATCATGACTGTACGCAGCGGGCGCTAGGGTACGTCGACGCCCCCACAAAAAAAGAAAAAAAAAAGAAAATGCACTAAATTTTCAATAATTCATTGCATTTTCCCCCAGTCCCCAACAGGAAAAAAATCCTCTGTATCGCCACGCATTATGGTTCAAGGCATGCCCACATAGAAACAATTTTTATGCCGGGGGTCGGGGCAAAATGCAATGAATTATTGAAAATTGATTGCATTTTCTTTGTTTTTTGGTTTGTGTAGGGGCGTCGACGTACCCTAGCACCCGCTGCGTGCAGTCATGATTTATTGATAGGCTTTACATCTTCTATGAGACATGGGAGTAAATTTTAGGTTTGCAGATGAGACGTGGAGTTTAACAAACTTACAAAACCCAACCATTTTAGATTGTTATTCGGCCAAATTAAATAAATGCACGCTTGCCTGATCTCAATGCACTGTCACACGGCCACACCTCAAAATAGCCACCAACATACACCAGATACAAATATATATTTAGGCACCTCGTTGTCTGAATAGGAGGATATTTGGGTACGTTCCTCGCTGCCCAATAATTAGGATATGTGGGGCACCTCTTTGACCGAATAATTATAAGACGATGTTTCATCGAATGTCGGAACTTCAAAACTCCCGGATGCAGTCCTTTCAGTGCTCCTGTCTTCCAAGCCTGTGCCGAAATGTGATTTAAATCAAATAGTCGGTCTAGACTCCGCTCTATTATAATGCTCTCATAATCTGATTTCATTATGCCGTCGGCAGTAGACTATGTAACGTTTGCGTTTATGAAGTATGAAGGCGTTGCGTTCATTATTGCAAATGGCGTTCATGTGATAGACAGATGTAGGTGTAGGTAGATAATCAAAAGCAAAGACGAGGGAAGGGGGAAGGCCGGAAGCACACCTTCTAATCGACTGAAAGCATACATTGCAAATATAATACACAGTCATGCATTCCCGCTATTACGGGGGATGATCTTTGAGCAGCTGCCTCCTTCCAATGCTATTTGTAATACTGAAAAGATTCTCTAAGTGTTCATGGTAGTGGCAACGTCAGCAAATTATTGTTCTCAACATATTTAAAGTTAAGGCCCCCTCATATGATGTGACAAAGATAACTTATTCATGAATACAACAACAAATATGGAATATATAAACTATTTACAAAATACTCTCAGAGAACAACTACCCAACGATGCATCGACCACAGCATGGATGGCTTCAACAAGTATACCCGAAGATGCACACATCCCCATCACACCGGGTGAGCTAACAGGCTCACCGTGTGTGTGAAAATATGTATCATAAATTATGTGCAAAAAACCATCCCACCCATTGGTGGGCGATCTAATATTATGGACAAACCCAAGCTGACACCAAGTCGAGACATCAATGAGTTATTGCTCTCTGAGTGCAGAGGTCAAGTAGGAATATATGGTATATGCAGTATGTAACGGGGGTTATATGTCAAAGTCAAGAATTAACGAAAAAAAGATCAAGAGTAGAGTTAAATATGCTACAGTACACAAACAATAAAGCTTGATAACACATGTATGTGTCATCGACATACTTGTGTAGAAAATATGACTTAAGTCTACGTTTAAAAACTGAGATACTTGAAGCATTTGTTATGGTAGTATCAAGTGAATTCCAGAACCTGGGGCCAGTGGACATTAGTGTATTCAAAGTGAAGGTTGTCCTTGCATACGGTAAATGGAGAGCAGAAGCCTGTCTAGTATTATAGGTGTGAATTTGGTTATTTCTTCTAAAGATTTGAGCAAGGGCAGGAGGGAGGTCTCCAGAGTGAATGCTAAACATGAGCATTCCAAGTTGCATTGAATAGAGATCTTCTAGTTTTAGAATACTGTTTTCATAATAAAGTAGATTTGTATGTGCACGATAATTCGCTTTACAAATTATTCTAATCACCCGCTTCTGCACAACAAAAAGCCTGTGGATTTGATTTTTGGAGGATTTGTCCCATGCCAACATACCATAATTAATATAGGATAAAATAAGAGTAGAGTACAAAATGAACAATACCTCTTGAGGTATACATGATCTCAACTTATAAATAACACCAGTATTTTTTGACACCACTTTACTTAATTTGTCCACATGAGTTTTCCAATTCAGTTTCTCGTCTATGTATATTCCAAGAAATTTTGTTGAAGTTACTCTCTCCATTGAGTTATTATTGAATGCCACTTCGCCTGGCAAAATATTAACTGAATTACTGAACAGCATATGATTAGTTTTCTGAAGATTCAAGGATAACTTATTAGCATTAATCAACTTCATTACTTTTCGAAACTCTTCATTAACAGTTTTCAACAATGTTTGTGGACATTTATGAGAAAAAAATACAAGTTTGTTGAACTCTACGTTTCATTTGCAAAATTGTAATTTATTCCCATGTCTCATGGAAGAGGTAAAGACTAATACCAGTGCATAACGTAATCTCCCCCGTCTTGAATGCTTGCAAACAGCTATTAAAACATAATTCCGTTATCTTGAAATCAGTGAGAATGTTTTTGATGTATTTGAGCTCTTTTGTGTACTGGTCGATGCTCAGCAGACTCTGGCCGTGCTTAACCCATGCAATGATAACTGAATCATCCTGAAACACAGCAAGGTGAGGTTCACCATCTGTGCTGATGCCATGAATGATAGCACCAGACACATCGTCGATCACTTGTACCTCATTCCGAAAGCTGGTAGTATAACAACTCTTAACGACAATCGCTTGACTGGATGTCATCGCAAACATC